TCTGGCATTTGTGGGATATCTGAAGTGTAAACATTAAATAGTGTCGGAGAGAGTACAGAGTCTTGTGGTACGCCTGCTGATATGTTTCGAGAGATTGATAATGGTCCATTGACTTTTACCATGAAATTTCTGTTTGTAAGAAACCTATGAATCATTATTTTGTTGTAATCAGGGAATCCCAAACTACGTAATTTATACATTAGTCCTGCATGCCAGATCCTGTCATACGCCTGTGCAATGTCTAAGAAAACTACTACAGAGTGTTTCTTTTGATGAAGTCTCTCGACAATATTTTCCGTTAGTCTCGGTAATTGGCGCGTGCGTGAAATTTTTATTTTATATTTGTTTTTTAAGTTTAAAATGTTTTGATAAGTACAGTCACTTTTGTGGAAATGGCTCTTTGTCAGCTGTTTGGGAGCGGATCTAGAGACGAATTTTGGAAGGGAAAATGTTTGTATTCAAAATGTTTTGGTCGAATGTGTCAAATTACAGATTATGTAGATTGACGCAGGCTAAACTAAATTCATTTTCCGATAAGATTTTGTTACTTTTAATGTTTATACGAAAATGTTTTTGCTTGAAACTTTCGTGACGAGTTAAAATTAATACTTACTGAAAAAGAAACTTCCCATATTTCCCTCCCCGTGGATCTGCTCCTGGCTGTGAAAAGTCTTTTGAGATTGCGTGCAGAACTTATACACGCTGTCATTTAGCTTCGACATGCATTTTGTGTGTGGTAAAAGAATTCGAAAAACATTTTTTTGGTGATTTCATTGCTCATTATTGCTGTTGCTGCTGTTGTCGTAGTGGATACTGGCGCCGATGACGGTGTCTGTGATCTGGAACAGAAAAAATCGTTCGAAACGATGTAACAGTATTTTCCGCTTTTGTTCCTGACTGATTGATCCTTGTAATAGTGAATATTAGAAATGTTAAATATTTATTTCCCTGGAATTAGACAATGAATTCAGTAGAAAACTTAAAAATAATTCCTTTTCGTTCATGATTCATTGAAGAAAACTGGATATTAAGAGAACTAGAAAGCCAACTCCACGTCTTCAAAATTTTGTAGAAAATATAATCATAAAAAACATCTGATCGAAAATTTAAAAATGATTTCATAGTAAATGTTTATAGTAAATTTAGTTTTCATGGTAAATATAGATGATTATGTGGGTGTGATTCGAAGATATCTCTATCTTGTTTTCCCAGTAAATTATTTGGAGGTGAAGATACATGTATGAAGACTTGGTAAAAAACATAACAAAAGCATACCGAATATTTTGTATTCGTTGTATAAAGATTTAAACCATATAGTAGAAAGCTTTTAACAAATGACGCTCGTGTAAAACACAAAAACAATTTGGAGTTACCATTATTTTGCACTTTTAGTATAACAAATTAGATACTATAGCTTTTACATAAATTTCATTTGGTCATTTGTTTGAGCTGTGCAGCCGACCTTGTTTGCCGACCGCGGCTGCCACTTTTAGAGTGACAGAATTGCCAACCTCTAAATATTTGAACTAACTTTTTAACTTGGGTCGCCAGAACACTCAAACTATTTTATGTTGATGATTTGAAATCAATATCGCTTCGAGGACCTAAATCACTAGAATAGAGGATCCCACTGTTCTGTTGCATTGTGTGCCTCTTAAAGAACAAAAGACAGCTTTCTCCACTACGCTTGGAGGATTTTGATTTTATCTGCAAAACATACAATGCTTGAAAAATATTGCTAGTTTTATTCTCGACATATTATAATAAGTTACGATGGTGAAAGTGCATGGTGAAATTAATCAGCGTCAATATTTTGAGAAATGATAATGAAATTTTGAGAATGAAATTTTTGAGAAAAAATAGCCTGTTCCACGCTCTATATTGATTCAATTTTTAAAACCGTTTCAGTCGGTAACATTTGACCGGCTAACCCATAGAGAGGGAAACAATTTGACTGTTTATAATCTCTTCCTTTATTTTATCTGAAGGATGACATCGCGAATCCCACGTCTTATTCTTGTGTCAAAGGAAACTGAATCAGAAGAACGTGATGCACTAGGCCGCTTTCACCGCAAAGTGCTAGTCGCAGATTTCAACGACGTTGAGTAAATAAATCTTGCACGTTGGACACATTAGTAAGATATGGAAAGTAATTGAATCATATTTTAGTCGGTTCCTGATGTTAATACAAAAGTTACAGGGATAGAGTTTGGTTAATTATTTTGTAATGAAAATTATATGATCTGTGAACTCGAAATTATGTGAAAAAGATAAATAATATTAATTGATTCCACGTGATTGTGTACTTGATTTGTTGGAAAAAAAAACATATTGAAATTTCTGGGTTTTCCCGTTTTTCTTCCTTATTACTCAACGATAATGGTTAAACCAGCACGCAAAAGCCAACTTTGTTTGCATTAATCACAATATAATGTCTAACACTGTATCTTAACGCTCATGTAGGATACTGCAGAATGAACGATGAGAGCATTAATATTCTGGAGACAGAACTAATACAATCATTATCTTATCTCCCTAAAATTCAAGCCAACCAACAACCTCTCTGCAAAATTAAATTTTCCGTGCCCCAAATTAGTTTTTTGCAGTCTTGTACTCACATTACAATTTTCTTTCTTTTATTATGATTATTTTGTTCTTGTTTCTTCTCTAATTTTCTGTTCTGCTTTCTTCTCTCCCTTCTCTCTCTCTCTCTTTCTTTCTCCTTCCAAGCATCTCTCTTTTCTTTTTTGTTCATTTTTTTCTTTTCCTTTTTTCGGGACCGATTAGGAAATATTGGCGCACAAGTCTCAACTGATTAGTAATCTACAAGGACATACCCAATGCTGGCGGTTGCGGCTCTAAACGTCAGTGCCCTCAAACTGTTAACTGATTACAAATGCTTTTAAGGTGCGTACTTGCCGGTTCGGTTTGTAAAAAAAACCTTTCAAACTAACACGAGAACAAACAATAAAAATGGAAATGAACAAAACGCAACGAAAAATTTGTGTTGTGGCTGGGCTGTATGTACTTCAAAATGCCTAGACACAAATTTTCGTTAATTTTCATTTGTATTTTGTAGGACTTGTACTCGTCTAGAATAGTGACCAAGCAGAACTTATATATTTCAAGATTCTTTGCTTATCTGAAGTAAAGTAGACCGACCACGGTCCTTATCGACGATGAACTCATATGTAATAAAATACAATGTTTTTATTCTTTTCCGATATTTATTTTAAACTAATCATACCCACCCACATTGCTGGGATCAGCGAATGGAAGAAAGATCATAATTTACTCAAAAGTGTTTGGATGTTCAAACAAGACTTTCCTGAGTAAAATGTTCATTCGTATTTTGTTCTTTGTGGTCAGATTTGAATTGGGTTCATAATTTACGTATGACTCGTATTCATTAAAATCGGTTGAAACATTTAGGAGAATATACGTAGAATAAATGTAATGTCCATATTTCAACAGATTCAATCTTCACTGTTCTCAATTCCAATAAATACAAGACCGTTACAGTAAATAACAAAGGACAGGCTTATTCAGACAGAGGAATAATACATATGGGATAATACTTCGCAGGACAACCGCCCAAGATTAATGCACTGATAGTAGAAAAACCAACGAAATAGTCATAAACATTTCTCTGGGTATCGATGGGATTCTCACCGTAAATTGATAGTAGTCCATGAGTGGTGCAGATGTCTTTGCAATGTGTTGGAAGTATAATGAGTGTTGCAATAAAATACTAAGATCGGAGACGATCTATATCTCAAACACGATTAAAAGTGGTTCGTTTCGGAGGAGAGTTTTTTATTAAATTTTATTTTTACATTGACAGTACAACGTTCAGCCGCGAGACTCTTCCGTTGATTGACCGAGTTACTTTGTATCAACGAAGTGTGAAGGGAGTAACTTCTTGTCACCTCTCTGATAGTGAATGCATGATAGGTGATACCTTCAACCAAAGCTATTACGAGGAAAAATATTGCAACATTCGTTAGACGGTGATGTCTGGGTTTAGAGAAGAATACGATGGGTGAGACAGGTGCATGCATGAAAATCGGAGGAGTGGACAACCGAACAGTTTGTCGAAAACGCTTTATCGCTGTGAACGCAACTGATGAGTGTTTCTGTCTGTGCAGGAGGAGCAGGTGGAGGAGGAGGAGGCAGCGGGGCGCCCAGGCGCCGTCGCAGCGCCCCCGCGTGCTGCCCGCCGCCCGCGCCGCCCCCGGCTCCGCCCCCGGCGGCCC